ACACATTTTGCTCGCCTCTTGGTTTTCCACCAAAACATTGTGTGTGTGTGTGTGTGTGCGTGTGTGCGTGTACACGCGCGCGCACCCTTCGAAAAGAGAACAGCGGGAACAATAACATCAACAAGATTCGAGCAGGCATCGAGCATCAAGGTTACTGAATAACAAAAAAAATCAATTTATCCCAATTCCTTCACATCCTAACAAACAGAGCGTTAAGCGGTGATTTTGTCTTGACTGGACTGGTTTGTTTTTATTGCAATTTTAACGTTACTGTGTTATCGTACTTTTCGTGTGCACAGAGTGATTAGGTAGAATCGGTAGAAACGGACCATAGGGTCCAAATCACGCCAATGACACCGATTAAACCACTACGCCATCACCACCACCCACGTGAATTCAAATATGGTTCAGTAATGATCATCATAATAATAAGAACCCTTGTTTCTATGGGCTTGGAACTACGCAACTTCGGGGTTGGAATCGGCAATCATGAATCAGCGCTACAATCACATTTTTCCAATGTAATGCATAACCTTGCATTTTATTTTTGGCGGTCACTTTATTTCGTGGTGAACTATCTTCTCTCGTGACTATTCCGGAGTCTTTCCACCAAAATGTATTCATCAAATTAGACTAAGACACAACCCGTTTTACATGACATGCTGGTTCAGGGTAAAATATAACTAACCGGTGACATAATTTCTCGATCGACAGCCAAAACAATATGTGCGCGAGTGACCGCGCGGGAGAAAGAGAGAGAGAGAGAGTTGGGAGCACAGTGTGATTATTGTGCAAGATTGCGTGCCCCTTGTTTTTTTTCCAATCTCTCCTCATGTGTACGCAACTCACCAAATGATACATTATTCGATACACATGAATCCAAGCATCTCGAAGTGTACGTTCACACAATCACCTCCTAAAGACCCCGAATCGAATATTATGTACACATATTTGTGCGTTTATAAACATTGTGTCATGCAAAACTAAACAACCTGGAAATTCCTGTGCAAGAAATCATGAAGAAAAGGATACATTCAAAAATTATGCCAATAATCGCAATACGTGAACGGCTCAAGCATGTACTGAAAAGCACAGGCGATCGAAACCATTATATTGCCTTTATTCTTATTTGCGATCTGGTTTACATGTTCGATAAGAGAGAGGTGATCGCACGTTGTTGTTTTTTTGTTACTTGTAGTCCGTTGATTTTTAGTCAATCCTGTGGGCAAATGGTGACTTCATTGATATTTCGGCTCACATATCCGATAGGAACATAAAAAGTCCCATTAAAAAGTAGAATTCTTTTGATGTACAACATTGAGGACAACGAAATAAGAACGCGCTCGCGGACTTAGGTCCATTGTTTAGGGTGGTTGTGGCACAGTGGTTTAGTCTTTATCATCGGCGTGCTTTAGACCCTATGGTTCGAGGTTCAAGCCCCGCCACCGCAACCCAACTTTGGTGGTTGGCAGCTTTGCTGTCGTTCAGTCCAAAAACACGCCTGACCTGGCGCAAGGCCTTATTTGGTTCGCCACTCCAAGTCCCACTGGGCTTAGGTTACTGGTTTCCATCACTGAACAGCAGGTCTTCTTGACCATGTGGTTCGCCCCGACCGCTGCTTATCACACACTTAGGTGTGTTATAAAAACGTGACGGGCTGAACGGCGACATGTAACTAACTCAGTTGATGAATCTTATCGCTTGGGGTTGCCAGGACTAGACCGAATGAAGCACGAGAGACAGTGACAAGTTTGAAGTTCTGTGTATGTAACCTGCACTATCAAGATTTACGGAGTGCAAGCGCACGGCACGCCTAACCGGAACTTGTGCCATATCCCCAAGGTCGTCTGCGATCTCGTGATCGAGAGCAATCAAACAAAATAGTGCCTTTACGTGTGAGGAAGGGAACTAGAGTTTCAAATGCAACACAACTCAAATGCCTTTCGCACAGATTTCCATGAACCCCGTGTACACATATTCGAGTGCACCAGTCGAATTACGATAGTTGCATACACGTTTTCGCTCTTTGTATCTCCCATCTAACTGATCCAGTTGTCCACCAGGGGTTCTGAACACCCAGACCGTGTTTCCAATTGCACGCTTATTTATGAGTCTGTGTTGAAAGAAACGGTCGTGGAATTGTTACCAAGTGTTTACGCTCCAGGTATCAGTTTGCTTGAGGCGTACATTTTTTTATTTGAAAGATTACCATAACCGAGTACCTGTCTGAAGTAGTCCTTATCAGTTAGTTTATTCATCTATGTAATTTGGTGTCAACTGTCTCGTCCGTTAGGCCGTGGTTACTTAGCCAATGCATAATCGAGTTCTGTATAGTAAATGCTTCGATTCGATCGGGGTGATAAATTCAAATTTTACAGTTCATTCCCCAATATCAGTCGTGTTCCATGTCACTATTACAAATCTCTGATTATACCCGCGTAATGTATTTTGTTTCTCATCAAAGGTTTATCGGGGCTGTCAAACTGCCTGTCGCGTTGTCGATCTGTTGCCAAACACGGAATACGTCTGCCGTGTCGGTGCGATCCGATTATGTCAACCCAATCTGTGCACCGGGATCGCAGTTTTTGTAAGTCCCGTTGATCCTTATCCTATTCTGTGCGGTCGTGATCCCCGGGTCGTGTCAAAGTCCCTCTCTTTCCTCGCCCAACTTCCGTTCTATCCGTTGTGATGTCTCGCGATTGAACCGCGAGTCTGTCTGCAACCCGGTCCCGATTGCTTGAATTCAATTCGGACCACGAATCACAACATGCTTACGAACCATTTGTTTGTTGGTATGGTCGTGAAAAGTTGGCAACTCACTTCCTCTTTTTTCCCTTCTTGTATGCATCAAGAATATTAGACGATCAGCTGCATAGCCGAATCAACAGTAATGTTGACATCTTATAAGTAATGATGAGACTCCGCGTTAGATTTTGCGTACTTATATTTCGAACCCAATCGACAGTCGAGGCACGACTTCATTCAGGTTAAATATGTAATTCATGTCTTTGCCTATCACTTATTCTAACAAGCACAGTTTCGGACTCCTAAACGTGGGTAAAGGAAGATTCACAGCGGCCAGCCCATGGTTTGAC